AGGGCCTCACTAAGTTCCCAAGACTGGTCTTGAACTTATAATCTTCCTGCCTCAGTCTCCCAAACTGCTGGGATTACGGGTATAAGCCGCTGTCCCCATCTATCTCATGAAATTTATCAAACACTGTAATTAAAGTGAAAAACAGAATGGCTGTATGAATATACCTTCCCACAAGTATAAAGTTGAAAAAAAAAACATTGTCAAACTATCACAAAATGGGGAACTGTAGGTACTAAAATATTCACGATATCACCAGGAATGTGGCTCAGTGGTACAGCACTTGCCTGGCATGTGTGAGGCCCTGGGCTCAACCCCCAGCACGAGGAGGGGAAAAACACAATACCAAGAGGTAGAGAAAAAGGTATAACAGAAACTAAAACCCAAATAATTGGCTTTTTTTTTTTTTAACCTTTTGCCTTGATTTTCCAAGTAGACGTGGAAATATACTTTTCCTTTCAGAAGAATATGGAACATTTTTATGCCTGAATGACTTGCTTAAAACTTTACTAGCAGCCAGGTGCAATGGTGCACATCTGTAATTCAGTGACTCAGGAGACTGAAACAGGAGGATCACAATTTAGAGGCCAGACTAAGCAACTTAGAGAGACTCTAAGCAACTTAGTGAGCCCCTATCTGAAAATAAAATTAAAAGGGGATGTAACTCAGTGGTCAAGGGCTTCTAGGTTCAATCTCTAGTACCAAAGGGGCAGGATGAACTTCACTTAGAAAAATTTGCCATTATTAAATAAATTCTAGCTGAGTGTGGTGGTGCACACCTATAATTCCAGTGGCTGGAGAGGCTGAGGCAGGAGAATCACAAGTTCAAAGGCAGTCTCAGCAACTAAGCAATTTAGTTGCTAATTTAACAATTTAGTGAGACATTGTCTCGGACAAAAAATAAAAAGGGCTAGGGCTGTAACTCAGTGGTAAAGCGCCCTGGGTTTAATCACAGGTACCAAATAAATAAATAAATAAATTCTAATTTGCCCAAGTTTTATTAATCTGTGCAGATTGACAACAGCCTCAGGAGGAATGGAGGAGGAGATAGGGAAGTGGGGAGGAAGAGGAGGAGATGAAGAAGAGAAGGAAAGAGGAGGAGGAGGAAGAGAGAGAACAGATCTTTGAAACCACAGTATACTGAACAAGGGTAACAAAAGAAAAGTGAGAAATCTCTGCTATTTATTTAACTTTCCAGTGCCAGCTAGCATGACACTTGGATGTACTTATTTGCAAATTATATGTAGCAATTTGACAAACTTCTTTTCAGATGAAATCCTAAAAGTGCTCTTCTTCTTCCTCCTCCTCTCCCTCTTTGCCCTTTCTCTTTTCCAACATGAAAGGCTAACCAATGGCTTAGCTGGTTAGACTTTAAAGATATCAAAAAGGAGGGCTGGGGATGTGGCTCAAGCAGTACCGTGCTCGCCTGGCATGTGTTCGGCCCAGGTTCGATCCTCAGCACCACATACAAACAAAGATGTTGTGTCTGCCGAAAACTAAAAACTAAATATTAAAAATTCTCTCTCTCTCTTAAAAGAAAAAAAAGATATCAAAAAGGAAATTGCCAGAATCTATGACATTGAAAACTGATCCCTCTGCCAGGCGATATGGTACATTCCTGTAATTCCAGTGGTTTGGGAGACTGAGGCAGGAGATTGAGGCAGGAGGATCACAAGTTCAAAGTCAGCCTCAGCAATGGTGAGGCACTAAGCAACTCAGTAAGACCCTGTCTCTAAATAAAATACAAATAGGGCTGGGGATGTGGCTCAGCGGCCGAGTGTCCCTGAGTTCAATCCCCAGTACCAAAAAAAAAAAAAAAAAAAAAGAAAAGAAAAAGAAAATTGATCCCTCAGGATCAGATTTTGGGAAGAAGAAGAAAAAGGAGAAGGCGGCTGAGGGGAGTCTTTTTGAGGATTCTCCAACTTATTACATAAGTTTAAACTGAAAGGAGGGTTTTGTTGTGCAGTATATCAGTACAGCATAATATATTGAATTAATTAAACCCTGTAACCCTAACTGCCCTATATTTAATTAATTAATTTACTTTGTCTTTTTCTTTTTTGTGGTGCTATGGATGAACCCAGAGGCTTTTGCATGCTAGGCAAGCATTCTACCCCTGAGCTACATCCCTGCCCTGTGATTTAAAACAAGAATATCTAACAACTCCCCCCGCCCCGTCCCTGGGGGGAACTGGGTGCTTTACTACTGAGCTACTCTCTAGTTCCTTTTGATTTTTTTCTTTTGAGAATGAGTCTTGAACTTGTGATCCTCCTGCCTCAGCCTCCTGAGTCGCTAGATTGCAGGCGTGTGCCATCATGCCTGGCTCTAAAATCTTTTGAGTAACACAGGAAGGAGAAAAGGAGGACAAGAGGAGGAACAAAGGAGAGGTAATGAGAGAGTGAAAAAAAAGGAGAAGAAAGAGGGAAAGTAGGGCAGAGAGAATTGGAAAGATGCAGTGAGAAAGGGGATGGAAAGAGAGAAGGAAGGAAGGATAGAGAATGGACAGACGGACGGACAGGAAAGAAGACCTTGTTTAGGTCAGGGGCAGCTGTTAAAGACACATGAAACAAATGAAATGAGATTAATAATAAAATAAGAAACTTAAAATTTTCAAAGAGCATCTATACAAACTTTTCTGTTAATGTGAGAATCTTTTTGCAACATTGAGGATAGAATCCTGTCTTTCTCTATTCCCTCTTCCACTGAGCTACACTCAGTAGCTGAGAATTCTTACTTGTGCATTTCCTAGTTCCATATAGTGGAGACACCAGAAGTTTGGATTTGGGGGGTTGATCACCTACCTTCATATCAAAAATGAATGCTCTCAGTGATGTCATATTTTTATAGAAAAACCTTAGTTTATGTTATTACTGATACAGTCTCTTGATTGCAACATCCAAACAGTGTAGTTGCTTTTATTTTCTTTTTCTATATACGTTTTTATTTTGCCTAAAGATAGAAAGCTTGACTGAATTTTCTGGTTCCCAGCACACATCGGGGGAAAAAGCCTTAATTTAAGTACATATGAAATAACTAACTCAATTGTATGTAATTTAAGAAATAAAAATAAGAATTTTCATATTAACATGCATACTGCCCACATTACACGTTTTAAACAAATGTAATTAAAAACCTAAGAGCCTAGTGTGGTGGTGCACTCCTATAATCCCAGGAACTCCTGGGGGATAAGGCAGGAAGATCACAAGTTCAAGGCCAGCTTCAACAACTTAATGAGACCCTGTTTCAAAATAAAAAAGGCTGGATAGTGGCTCAGTGGTTGAATGCCACTGGGTTCAAGCCCCAGTAGAGTACCAAAAACAAAACAAACAAACAGAACTAAGGAGAATCAAACGATGATGTCATCCTTTTGTAATTCTCAATTTCTGTATGTTCAGAAAGGTTACATTGATATAAATGAACTAAACCTTTTATTTGTTATTCTTACAGCATTTTGTGAACTTTATATATATATGAGTAAAAACCCAAGAGAGGTCTAGGGATGTAATTCAGTTGGTAGAGTGCCTGCTTCACATGTATAAGGCCCTGAGTCAAATCCCCAGCACCACAAACAAACAAACAACACACACACACACAAAAAAAAGGAAGAAAGAAAGAAAGAAAAAAGAAAAAAAGAAAGAAAACAAGATAAAGAAAAGCAGTTTTATACAACTCTGTTTATCCATACTTGCTAAGATGTTGAAAGATACCAGTTCATGAAAATCAAAGGGATCAGTGGTATATGCACTTGGCAAGCATGTGAAAGGCCCTGGGTTCAGTCCCTAGCACAGAAAGAATTGGGGGAGGGGGGGAAGGAGGATGGCAAGGGGACAAGGGAAACCTCAATTTTAATACTTAAGTTAGAGCTTTCTCAACGGTATACTCTCAAATAATTACTTACCATAGTTAGTATGCACAAGCTGCTTTTAAAGGCTAATTCTTTGTTGTTTTTTATTTTGAGACATGAAGATTGAACTCAAAAGTGCTCCACCTCTGAGCTACAGCCTCAGCTCTTTATTTTTTATTTTAAGACAGGGTCTCACTAAGTTGTCCAGCCTGGCCCCAAACTTGCGGTCTTCCAGCCTTAGCTTCATAAGTAGCTGGGATTACAGATGTGTATTACCTCTCCTGACAAAACTTGGCTCTTTAATATAAAATGTAAAATAATTAAAAGCCTATTTCTGTGGGTTAATCACTTGAAACAGAAACTGTGAAGTCTAAGTTGGCACCCCAGCTGTTGCATTGATTAGGTCAATCACAGTGTGCAAGAAAAGGCATCAATATTAGTTATTTTATAAGATCCTTCTAAAAATCAAACAAAATCTATGAAGTAAAAGTATTTTGTAAGCTATAGGGCACTATTATTTATTTATTTATTTTTGGTGCTGGGGATTGAACCCAGGACCTAGTTCATGTGAGGCAAGCACCTACCAACTGAGCTATATCTCCAGCCTTAGATTAAAATTTTAAAATAACAATTTATCTAAACTATAGTTTATGCAAGATATCATTCCTATCACTTCACATCCAAGCAAAGGTATCACTTTGGAGCCATAGTTTTAACTGAAAGGAAGTAGAGTGGTCACCTCTGACAGATTAACAACCGGGAAGAAAATAATCTACAGTTAGCCATGCTGCATTAGGGGGACAGTGTAATCGCTAGGACAATCCTTAATACAAAGAAATAGAAGTCTGAAGAGGGGCAATATCAAAGGTACTCTTTATTAAGGGTGAAACTTTGAAATCCATCTATTTAAGATTAATCACTATTCTTTTAGTTAAGCTGTTGTCATCTCTAACTTTCTTTGAGTAGAAAATAATCTACACTTCCAACTAAGTTATTCATGGTCCAATTTGTTCTCAGAATACTATAATAGGCTTTGTGAAGATAAATTTTATAATAGGGATTTAACGTAGTGAGAAGCCAGGACACAGAGGCCTTCCAACACAAAGAGTGTATATGTGTGTCAACTGCTCAATCCCCTCCCCCTCTCCTGCCACCCTCCCTGTTCCCTCTCCCAAAAGGATATTCACCCCTACTTAAAATCTAATTTTCACAAAGGATCCAGATGAAATGGCATCTCCACAGTTTCAGAGCACGATTGGTTTAGCCACTGCAGTGTTTTTGGGGAGATTTTCAACGGAGCTGGGAAAAGGGTGAAACTTGGAGTAAATTCCACTGGAAGAAGGAATGCTGGGGAGAAAGGGAAATATTCACAATCTATCCTGGTGGCAGTTTTGTCTTGCTGGATGTTCACATGTGCGCATTGAGTTTGCCGGCTAGAACTCTCAAAGAGAACTCTGCTTTCCTTGGGGGGAAAAAAGAAAACTTGCAGGATGGAATCCTGGGGAAAAAGAAAAGGAAAAGGAATCATTGACTATTTATATGCATAAGTTTTATTTTAATAGCGTTTGATATCTCAAGTACATAGTTGAAAATAATAGTTATTCAAAGACACTATTGATTTTTTTCTTGCTCTTTAGCTGTAGATGATGTCAATTTCCATATTTATAATTTCTCTGTTATTTGTATCCAAATGAAGTATATTGGTTATTTGTTTTACAAAGTAGCAAAGTACTGAGAGTACAACTTTATCTCATTCCAGATTCTTTTTTTTTTTAAGGGGGGGGGATGTAAGAGTTCCTTATTTTCCTATTTTGATCATTTCAAGACATGCAAAATATTAGTATTTAAAATACTAGAGGGGCTGGGGTTGTGGCTCAGAGGTAGAGTGCTCACCAAGCATGCGTGAGGCACTGGGTTCGATCCTCAGCCCCACAAGAAAAGTAAAGTAAAGACATTGTGTCCACCTGTAACTAAAAAATAAATATTTTTTTAAAAAATAAAATACTAGAAACACTTCACCTATCAATGTATTTTAATAGCTTCTCTTTTCTGTACTATTACACCCTGCTGAACCTATTTTGTTGCAAATCTGCCCATCTTATTTGCATATTTGTGACAAAGTATAAAAGGATACAGACTCATTCTTCCTATAAAAACTTTGGTTTAATAATTCTATAAATCACATGGGAATTCTCAAGTGGATACACATTTTGAACTATTTTTTTTTTTAAGATTTCTTGAATTGTTTTTTAATGTGCTTTTAATGATGTCTAGCACTCACACCTCCTCACTTGCTTTCCAAACTGTTTATACTGTCCCCAATAACACTCAGTGGAAAGCTGTCATTCCTGGCTAAATCCTTACTTAGGGTGGATGCTATGCCTCCGTCAGACAGGGTCAGGGGGTCAAAATCGATTTTGGAGGCCACCTGGAGAGTCCAGGCCATGAACTGACTCAAAAAATTTATATCAGAGCTGGAATGGTCCACCTCCCAGGGTCAGATCTAGCCTGACACTCCAACCACAGGATGGGGCATGCTAGGCCAGCTCAGAGAGAGGGCAGAGTTGTTGACCCTGCTAGCTGACCTCTTCAAACTTCAGGAGAATTTTTTTGGCAGTTACCACGGTGACTGGGTACTCTAAAAGCTTATCCTGCTTACTGAATGGAAGGAAAAAAATTAGGAAACTATATGTTAAAACCTACCTTGCAGAGATGCCTACTATGGTGAAAGTTTAAAACAAAAAACAAACAAAGGAAAAGCAGGAAAGGGGGATGGATTTAAATTGCCTATGCCTTTTATATAAATTTCCACTACAATCCTTAAAAAATGGAATGTGCAAGGTTTTTCAAACTACAAAATTCAAAATTTGGAGCTGATACTACTGTTTTTACTGCTTCTCTCTCTCCTCCTCCCCCCTTCTTTTTTTTTTTGGCTCACTACTGACAACCATATGAATAATGCATTAACATACTTTTTAAACAATGTATTTTATTTGGAAATTCTAATATCTCTTTGCTTTTCTTTGAGAATAATCAGCTTTGAAATAAGATCCATCATATATGCTATTCTATCAGGGAAAAAAACACTGTAAATAATCATTTCTGCTTCAAAACTATGCTCACTTTTTTTTTCTTTTTATCTTGAGAGAAAGGTGTCAGTTTTGCTTGACTTTAAATAATAAAATTAGGAGAAAAGCAAGAGGCTATTATTGTTATGTAATTTATCTTGTACCAAATGGCTTAATAAAAATAGTGTCTGTACTAAAAACAACAACCTAAAAATGTTCTCTATATAACAAAACACCCAAAGGAAAAAGATACAACATATTCCCTTTATTTTAGAGCAATGAACATTAAAACTAAAAAAAAAAAACCCCAAAACAGAATGTTCTTCCTTTTTAGTACCAAATGCTAAAATCGTAAAAATCCCACAACAACAGAAACACTTACAAATTAAAACTTAATTCACAGGGAGTAAGTGTATTCACAATATAAAATCCTACTAGTTGATTTTTGGTGACAGGTTGTAACACAAAATTCTTTAAAATGCTTTTTATGGATTGCTGGAAATTGGGTAAGAATCATAATAATTTAGGAGTCTAACACTCTAATCATAATAATAGTTCCTCTAAAAATACCAATGTACTGTACAATGACTTTTGTAAAATGAAATCATTGACTTTATTGGTGTTATTTCTCTGGACTTCCCTTAATTTTCCCAACTACTTTTAACAAGATTCAGGTCCTAGATGGCCCAGAGTGTACAAGGAGCTCCAATAACATTCTGTTTGTGTGTGTGTGTGTGTGTGCACGTGCCCACACAAATGATCAAGTATTTGTAATGGTGAAGGGATGGTTTGTTTGCATCTTAAAAAGCAACAGGGGTCTTATTTTAAAAGATGAATTATAGAAGTGTAGAAACTGTCACTCCAAAAAAGAATGTAGGAAATTATAGACATTTTTAAACTAATCTTGAATGTCCATTTTGCTGTGACATATTTTTATTGTTTTGTTATCACCAATCAGTTCCTGAAATGGGATAGACATAAAATTTAAGTATTTATTAATCTTAATTTTTAAATAAACCAAAATACAATTCAGGAATAATTATTTTTTCCCCTTGTCTTCAGCTTAATACAACCACTGACGAGAGAGGTTGGAGAAATAATTTGAGACGATCTCACCATATCATTCAATTATACATAGGTCTTTCAATTAGTGTGTTCTTCGTGTTTCAAAGTGGGCATCCAGTTCTGTGAGTCCCTGAGACTGTGGTGCTGACTCATTGTGATGATAGGACTGTCCTTCCCAGGCACTGAGCTCTTGACAAGTTTCCTTAAGGACCAGGGGCTGGCAAAGTGTGAGGAACTACCAAAGGACAAAGAAGTCCTCTTTGGGTTTTGAAAACAGATGACAGAAGTCTGAGAATGAGGCAAGTTGGGCCAGAATCTCCTAAACCACGAGCCTTATCTTGAGTGAAACGATATTTCTAAGTTGGATCTGAAAGGAAAAAAAAAAATTAAAGAATAAGGTCATGGTTCATTTGTACACAAGAAAGCAGTGCCAAATTTCTTAGCTTGGTTTCCTCTACTCAAATTCAGATCTACCACACTCCAAAAAAACAGCAAAAGTCATTTTTCAGTTTTCCATATAAATGCTTACTAAAAGGACTAGGAAATAAATAGGTGTTTTATTCAGCAAGTCAGACTTGGATCTCCCCTTATATTAAATAGTCACAACTATATTACAGAACCACAGAGTTTAGGAGTTAAAGGGACCTAGAGATTATCTAATACAAAAATTTTACTTTACATATGCAAAGTCTGAAGCCCAGAGGCAGGAACTGCCTTACACACACATTACTTAGAAGCCTCAGCTAGAACCTAGATCCTACTTGGCATTTCTTGCCTATGGAGCCTCTTCACTAGGGTAGAGAATATTAAAAACCCACTCCAATAGACATATTCAAAGCCTTGAAAACAAAGTCAGAATAACCCTGACCATAATTCAAATTGATTTAAAAATTCATTCAATTTCTCCAGGATACAACTTGAGATGCCACGCAAGCAGAAACACCATAAAACCAGGTAGTAAAATGATAATATCATAGCTGCAATCAGAAGCTTCCAAATGAAGAGGAACTTATTTATTTTTAATTGTTTTTATTAGTCATTATAGTTAGACATGATAGTGTGGTTCATTTTGACATGTTCATATATGTGCAGAATATAATGTTTCAGGAACTTATATCTTATGCTAACAAAGAAATGTTGTTAATATTATTTCTTCAGCTAATTGTTTTTATTTATTTGTTACGGCTACTAAATATTGATTGATTGATTGATTTTCTTTTAGCAGACAGAGTGTCTCTGTTGTGCCAGGTTGGTAATTTAATACCAAGAAACATGTATCTTCATGTTACTTTATCTCTGCTACTAGTGCTATGGAAGAGTCTGTCCAAATAACCATGACCTACATAAGATCACCAGTCGTAATCTTAATGCTTAACATTGTCTAATTTACTCCTATTTAACTTGTTTCTTCAGGATTAGTGGATCCTGAAAATAAAGTAAAAAAGAAGGCTATAGAGCCAGGCATGGTAGCACATGCCTATAATCCCAGTGACCCAGAGGCTGAGGCAAGAGGATTGCAAGTTCTAGGCCATCCCTGGTAATTTAGTGAGGCCCTGAGCAACTGAGGGAGACCCTGTCTCAAAATAAAAAAATTAAAAAAGACAGGGGCCTGGCATGGTGGCACACACCAGTAATCCCAGCAGCTCTGGGAGCTGAAGCAGGAGGATTTGGAGTTCAAAGCCAGCCTCAGCAATGGCAAGGCACTCAACAACTCAGTGAGACCCTGTCTCTAAATAAAATACAAAATAGGGCTGGGGGTGTGGCTCAGTAGTTGAGTGCCCCTGAGTTCAATCCTTGGTACAAAAAAATAGAAAAAGGAAAAAAAAACAAAACAAAAAACTGGAGATATAGCTCAGTGGTACAGTGCCCTGGGTTCAGTCCCCAGTAGAATGGGGGAAGTAGCCTGTAGAAAATGTGCAACTAATTGCTGATACCCACTTGTCAATCACATTCAGAAGTAATATTTACTGTCTGTATAGTGTATTTTTAATGCTGTTCTAAATTTCCCCTTCTAACTTGTTATGGCAAATTGGAAAAGAGCACGATTTAATTCTACAAATTTGCCTCTGGACCCCAGGGGAGAAGTAGGTCATGGATAAGAATTTAAAAGGAGGAAAGAACAGATAAGTATGCTGAGGGGCCAATGGCTTTCTAGGGAAGGAGACTAGTATTTAAAAAGGCAGTTATATATGATTAAGAGGTGAAGGCAATAATAAGTTATCCTTAACTCCCATCTAAATTTCAAAGCAATGCTACCTCCCTTGCATAGATTCAAGTGGGTATTAGTTGACAAAGGCATTTAAGGGCTTTAACCACATGTTAAATTTTCAGAGCAGGGAATGAAACACCACTCCGAGGTCAGGTCTGAAGAACATTGCTGGGCAGCATTCAGTCAGGGCTTAGCGACCTATGTGGCACATGTATGTGGGTTTTCCATTTCTCAAAGCACTCTGATAGTTTCTGGACCAATGGCAGACTTCACCCACAGGAAAAAGATGTTCAGGGAAGTTTCTTGGTACAGGCGAACTCTCAGATATACACACACTTTTTTTTTTTTTTTTTTTAGAATCAAGGATAAAAAAAAAACAGTGAGCTGAACGGAGAGGAGGAAGTGTATGAGGAACTGTGAGATTAAAGAATGAGAATTTTAGACAGGCACAGTGGCACATGCCTGTAATCCCAGAGACTCAGAGGGCCAGCCTCAGCAACAGCAAGTGCTAAGCAACTCAGTGAGACCCTGTCTCTAAATAAAATACAACATAGGGCTGGGGATGTGGCTCAGTGGCTAAGTGCCCCTGAGTTCAATCCCTGGTACCAAAAAAAAAAAAAAAATAGAATGATAATTTTCTCCTTGGAAGTGCCCTTGAGCTCTACCCTAGGATTCAGCCAGGCTGTGCTCCAGGAAGAGTGCCAACGAAGGAAGAGCTGGGGGCCTTGCCCACTTCTTGGCCTTTTTCTTTTTCTTTCTTTCTTTTTTTTTTCCCCAAGACTTTTTTCAGAGCTGTTTTCTCAATCTGGTGGATACAGAACTCCATTCTAGGTACCATCCACAGGACTCCTGTTTGAAGGGTCCAGCCTGGGGCCACCTGACTGGTGTTTGCCTGCTGCCACTTGAAAAGAGGCCCACCTTTTGAGCATCCTCCACAGGCTCTTAGAAAACTATTCAAGCCTGAAATTTTGATATTGAATTTTAACGATTATCAGAAAAGAAGGGCAAGGCACAGCAGCTGCCCCAGCTGCCCAATCTAAGGGACAGCCCTGACTCTTGACCACCACAACCTACCCAACAAGAAGAGGGAAAGAGGAAGTACAAAAAGGCAAAGGTATTATTCTGAGGGCTCTGGCCCTGGGCCTTTGAGAGTCATTCCTGTCTACATCCACAAATAGGAAACAGAAAGCAAACCAAACCTAACACTTACTTAATGGCTTTAGAGCCTCAGGGTCCACCTGGCCTGTGTATTGGGGTGGCTGAAGTGGGATTAAAGGGTCTTTTCCTTCTTCTGCCTGCTTGGGTCATTCCTAAATAAAAAGCAGGTCACAGGACCATGCTGTCCCAACTACCAGTTTCCTAATCCCCCAACTCTAGCACCTGAGAGTGAAACTTCATGAAAAGTTATTGCCAGTGATAAACGCATGCTGACAAAATTGTCAATATTCATGCCTTCGACATGCTGGATGGCTTTCAGGCAAAAAAATAAGAAATTCAAGAACTGCCATGGGGTGAGCAGGGTGCAGGCCACAGCCCAGGCTGCAGTTATCCTGTGTTGCCCCACCCCTCTGACTAGGGAGTGTGTTCTACACAGGACTGCAGGCACTGTTTGACCTCTCTGGTCCTTGCTCTGGCTCTCTTTTTCCCTGTTCCTCACAAAACCTGCAGGGAAACTTCTGTCCCTGGTCTCAAACACTCTGGATTTACAGTGATATTACATAGGTTTTCTTTTTCTTTTTTTTTTTTGGTCTGAAACTCTGGGTCCTTAGAATATGTTGGACTTCTGATTACTTCTGCATGACTGACTGTATCCTATGATAGAGAAAATTACTAGGAATTAATATACAAGATAAAAATGATGTTTTTATCTATAGATACATTGGAAGAATGTATGAATATTACATTAAGAACTTTTAAAGTATTTTGGAGTTAGTGCTTCTATAAATAGTCCCCTCTAACAAACAATCCCCCTCCCCTTCACCCCCCAGGACAGTGCCCCTTGATTTGTCTTTCATGTTTTCGATTCAGTCTGTGTTCTAAATTTAGGAGTAATTTTAAACACATACATTGACCTCAATAGGCATTTATCATATAAGGTATGATTTCTAACAACAAATCCAGTTACCAATCAAAAGGCTTGAAATTAAATGACCTGTGACAGTCCTCCTGGGATTTTGATTTTACTACAAATGTTTGGGTTCAGATTTTAATTCATCTCCCTTCTCTCCAGCTTGAATGTTGATTCCTGCATTTAAATACAACACGGCACTTGAAATAAGGATCTTGTTAAACTGGAGGCTTTTCTCATTTCTCAGAACTCTATAAATGAACTGCATTGTCACATAATCGATAGGAAAAACTCAGCTGTCACAGATCCTAAGCAACCCCTGGCCACAGAAATAACACGATCTGGCATTTCTGAGTTTGAAAATGTGCTGTTTGTATGACATGAGACTAAAACAACTCAGACAGCCTCAAATTTTGCAGCCTCTATGAATCGCTGAGACTATCCTGCTGAGGACAGGGATAGGGAATCAGCTTTTCTCTGTTAGAGGTCAGGTGTTCCCTTTCTTCTTTCATATACAAGTGCAAGAGCCAACGTGTTGGGATCTGAGATCCAAAGCTATTTGTAAGCTCATCTAACTTTGTTTGCTGTCATAGAGTTTTTATAACAGAATTTCAAATTGGTGTTTTCTTCCCCAAACCAATGAGCAATTCAGGTCTGGATTTTGAAGTCCCAACTTGAAGTCCCAACAATTTCAAAGCCTGTCCTTAGAAGCTCTAGATCATCTCCATTATCATGATCAGAATAGCTGTGGTATATAAATCCTTCAGTTCAAAAAATACTCAAACATATCTAATAATAAATAATACAACTCAGCCAGGCCTGGTGGCACACATCTGTAATCCCAGTGGCTCAGGAGGCTGAGAGGAGGATCATGAGTTCAAAGTCAGCCTCAGCAATGGTGAGGTGCTTAGCAACTCAGTGAGACCCTGTCTCTAAATAAAATACAAAATAGGGCCGGGGATGTGGCTCAGAGGTTGAGTGCCCCTGAGGTTCAATCCCTGGTACCAAATAAAGAAATAAATGACACAACCCATAAAACTACAGCAAGTCATTTCTCTGCCTCAATGTCCCTGTTTTGGGTTATTCTCTCAGCCTTGTCTTTATAGTCTGCTATGCACAAATGCTACCATATCATGCAGGAGCAAGAAAATATCAGTGTCCCCATCCTTTCCATTTTATTTATGACACATTATTCTCTACTCAACTCAATAACTTGTTTACTAAAGAGATTTATTTATTTATTTATTTATTTATTTATTTATTTATTTATTTATATTTGGGCTGGGGATTGAACCCAGGGGTACCTAACTACTAAGCCACATCCCCAACACTTTTCATTATTTATTTTGAGACAGGGTCTCACTAAGTTGCTTCGGGCTTCGCTGAGTTGCTGAGGCTGGCCCTGAACTTGGAATTTTCCTGCCTTAGTCTCTGGAGCTGCTGGGATTACAGGTGTTTGCCCCCATGCCCTACAATAGAGGGCATTAAAAAAAAAAAAAAAGTGTTACCAGTTAGAACTACTCTGGAATCTATGGCACTTGACAGACTGGATTATGTAATAAACATGTTAATTTGTCTTAGAAGAACCTTGCTGAGAAAGCCCCTAGCCTTGGCATTTACATACCAAGGGTAAAACATTCTGTTTCAAGATTTTACCCTGACAGAGTCAGTGTAGCAAATGTTAGTTACCCTGAACCTACATGGATCTATGTGAAGAAAATACATTAGGTGGGGAATCATATAGGGTGCCATACCGTTTATAACTTCAAAGCATGGATGTGTGAAAGGTGTCTTTTCTAAAAACTAAGGCTGTTGGAGCCTGTATCTTCCACATCTCCATCACTAAGATCCTTGGACTAACAGTCTCCTATAATTAATTTAGTTGTCCTTACTGAACCATTGTATCTTTAAGCCAGGTATTTTGCTCTTATTTAACTCTGGAAGAAAATGGGACAATTTTAGCTGTTATTAAAATCCAACATTCCAAGTCAGCATCATTTCATAAGATCTTAGAAGCCCCCAACTCATTTAGGCTATTTTGTGGCAATTTTGCTTTAGCCGTAAACAGGACTGTTTGCACAGCAGAGTTTATCCTTTATCATAGTTCACAGGCTTCTCCACAGCTGCAAGTTGACATTTAGAACCTGTATCATACAGGAGGGGCCAAGGCCCATACAGGAACCCAGTCACTTGTTTCAGAAACAACTATCATTCGTGGAGGGAGCTGGGGAGAGGAAAGAAATAGGCACACAATATCCAGGCTGGGAGTAATTGAGCACTGATGTTCATCAAGGACAGACAACTGATGAAAGGAGTTTTCTTGGATATTTGATCGGTGTATGAATTTGCCTTGCTTACAATTATGAGAAATAACTGAATCCCATCTCAGTCTAAGAAAAGGTAGAAGTTGCAAGAGCATCTTAACCCTTGCAACATTTACCTTCTCACCCAGTCCCCTGAGCTCATTTTCAGCTTAATTTTTTCAAACACATCTAGGTCTCCATTTATGGGTTTCAATGGCCCACAGTGTTTACCAGGAGTGTTGTACCACCAATCCCGGAGCATTTATCTCTTCTATAATGTCTGTCATTACCCAAGACACTATAAAAAGCTCATTTCCAACCCTGAAAATATGCCCTTACTTACAGAAGTCATTAGCATAACAAGCACAAAGTTCCAAGGTGGTAATTTGGTTATAGATCTGAAATCCTTCTGGTTCCATCAGATCAGTGTGGTGCTGCCCTGCTGCAACCAGGATCTGGGTCAGTGGATCCCCTACAGGAAGGAAGTTGTACTGGGGTAAATAGTTAGTCTTTGAGGACTCAAGACAGGCAAAAGTTTCAAGTTTCACTTGCCTGAGTTAGGACATTTCTTAAAAAAATAAAGATCCATCTTTTTTCTTCCTTCTCTCCTTAGCCAACAAGAAAATACTTCTTAAAAGGAATTCTTCCACAGGTGTCTCTTTAGACATGGACATGTGTCAGGACTTTTCTCAGAGGCAACACAAGCCTTTTTACTAGCTGGTGAGGCTTGGGAAATTCGACCTCTGTCTGCCCTGCCAGTTCTTGGAGGGGCAGATTAGCTTCAACTGGGCTGAGGCAGGGGTGGTGGTGATGGTAGGGGTCAGTAAGGTTGAGATGTATTCAGATGGTAATTTACACCTGAAAAGACAGAATGTAGTCACTCTTGGGGGTGGGGGGAGGTGACTTGAGTTTCTTATGAATACCAGCCAGGAGTATTTCCTTGAGAAAGATAAATTGAAATGGAGGGGGGACTAGAGTATAAAAGTTTGAGAAACAGAAAGAAAAGAGGGAGCAGAGACAGCTTTGATGAGTAAAAAGAAATGAATTTTTAGCCAACAGTTGTGAATCTATTTTCAACTTTTCCTTTTCAGTCCAGTTTTCAGATGTAATAGAGAGGTGGTAATTTCTACTTTACTAAACATTTGGAGATTGTGTATGGAAGTTTGAAAAAATGGATGTAGAAATAAGGATAAAGAAGTAGCCTAATTTTTCTGCCATTTGGAACGATCTCCTTGTTTCACATAGTCTTTCTGCTTAATGATTGCTATCTACCTTGCTTAGTAGAATACCAAAGTACCCTATGAGTAACTAACTAAAAAAAAAAAAAAAGAAAGAAACTATACATTCCAACACTGCCTTTAACCTCAAATGACAGTAAAAGGTTCATTCAGACCCTAGGACCACACTGAGGCATTAATTAGGCTGATGAAATCCATCGAAATGTATGGATTCAGCATAATCAAGTTTCTACCGCAGACTATCGTTAAGGAATACGTGAGCAGCTGGGAGAATAGAAAGTACTGTTAGAGTTAAGTCATGCATGTAATTGAGTATATTTAACATAACCATTTTAATGATCAGTGATTAAAAGTGCATCTTACTTAAATGGTATATCCTCTGCAATTTGTTCATATCAACTCGATAATGTTCTCAAAAGGAAAAAGTAGGGATACAAATTTCTAAACAAGATCTTTTTTGAATTTGGAGGGGAAAAAAGGCAGAAATGTGAACTGGAAAGAAAAATACGGCTTTTGCAGGCAAACAGCTACACAAGTATGATGTGAATTAATGACTGTTTGGGGTACCGTCTGTGTTCACCTCATATACAGTATTAGGAATATATAAGTGATTTTTTTTCATCCCTCAGGACAAAATGCATTTTTCCTTCAAGATGCTTTCTCTCACAAGATTTTTTTTTTTAAAGGTGAGGTGGGGATGGGGTGGGGGGGGCGCTGTCCCAATGTTGCTCATTTTAAGAGCTTCACTTAAGAACCTGGCAAGTATACATTTCCGGTTTTTCCAACCTGTTGGACTGACTTTATCTTAGTAGAACTCACCTCCATGAAGATAACACGGGGAAGAAAGGAGGGAATCTCAAAGGGAGACATGTACCCAGATCTGATGGTCCAGAAGCACAAACAGTTCAGAAACCTGCAAAGGGGAAATTAGCTGTTCAAATCAGTGAGGGCCTGAACCAAAAGCCCACGCGCTTGGAGGGAGACTCTGCTCCGCTCTATTCACTCCGACCTGGCCAGATAAATGGAGTCATTGTGGAGCCATGCACAAGCCAACCCCACTGCTTTTGTTGTGTTTTCTCAGCTTTTGTGCTCAAAACACGCAAATCACCAATTACTTTGCCCAGGAAAGAATGGAGAAAAGAGAGGTGGATCTAGATCTACAGCTAGAAGTGTAGAAATCGTAGGATATCCGCCCATCTATGCAAGCACTATTAAAAACTAGAGTTCCGAAGGGATGCCCAGCTCCCCAAAGTTACTTCACAGATCTCTTTTTATTTGTTCACCCCTGCCCCCATCCCCATAGAGAGACAAATCTATTCTCCCACTGAAAATAGGGTTGAGCAGTGGAACATATTGAATGTCTGGGAGTTGCACTGAGAATTTTACAAACTTAAGAGGATGGCACAAGCATGGAAAGGTCTGTTGGCACATATGTTCTGCCTGCTGCAAATAAAACAAAAATGTTTTCAGGGGAAATTCATTTGAAGGCTTTCTTCCACCTAGTGACATGCCTTCTTTGGCTTGGAGGGACAGATCTTGGGAAATCAGGTCTTTCAAGGAGCACTCCCACCCCCAATGTATAATCTATAAATATAGTGGAAAAGCCATGCCAGGGGTAGTCAGTGCAAGAGAATCTGGAGCCTTGAAAGCATCTTTTTCTTCTGGCTATGGTGGCACTTAAATGATAATGCAGGCAATGGAGCTGGGAGATTTATATCTTTTGGAAAGTAGGGCGAGCCAGATGGTAATAGCGTCATTAACACACAAACTTGGGATGTGCAAGTGAAGCTTGAAATTGGGAAAGAGATCAGGAGAACAAAGGGGGCTGCTGTTGAAAGGCTACCCCTCTTCTGCTGGCCAAAGCTAAGAGCCCCTTGGTACTGAGGTCTGCTCCTGCCCAGAGCTGGATAATAAACGACAGCTTTCCCCCTCCCCTGTTGTGACTTAGAAAGCACGGAAGAAAACTTTTGCAATAGGCAAATTCGGCACTTATTTATGTGTAACCCTTTGTAGTCTGAAGTGGCAGGAATGGGCCTTAATTCAAATGCATTCCACCCCCACCCCCACCCTAGTTTGATAAGCCCTTGCAATTGTTGACATTTATTTTATGCAATCAAAGTGCCGCTTGTTTTACGTTTCAGACAAAAGTTCATTTTCCTCCCCTTGTATAAATACTCTAAGTAAATATTAAAGGTTGAACAGCACTACCTTTTTCATTTTGGTGATGGAGGTTGGTGTAAGGGTGTTGAGGTGTAAAACTCCAGGGTTTTACTTTGGAAAACTTTAACATTTAAGTTAAATTCTCACTGAATGTATAGAAAACAGTATTACAACAAGATTAAGGACAGTATTAATAATAATAATAATAATAATGTGTGTTTATACTAAACTCCCATCCAATCATGCATAAATGAAATAGTTTGGAACAAAAAAACCAAGGATATTATAACTTTTGTTCTTTGTTCTTTTTATTAATGCAATGCACATATATACATTACAATATTAAAAAGAATAAAGTTATTAACACACGTAGATATCTGGGGTGTGTGTGTGTGTGTGTGTGCGCGCGCGAGCATATTTGGCTTCTGAGACGACCGTAAAGGCAAAGGTAAGTCATTAAGTATTGACTGGCTTGAGTGAAGCCTGTTAGCGACTAAAAGTTGACGAGGTCTAAACTAAAATCGAACGTTTTTCTTTTTCTTCTGGAAAAAAAAAAAAAAAACTGGAGCTCTTTAAAAGCCCAGAGGACTTACCCTCAAGGCATTATTCAGAGAAAAACTGAGACTGGCCGTTCGTCACAGGCAATTGTAAAGGGTTTCAAAGGGCCGATCAAACGATCGCCAGAGTAATCTACATTCAAGTCCGGATGATGGTGTTACGGCACACACCTGCGGGGTGTTTGCTGTCCGTGCCCCTCGCCGAGCTACAAATCATCATTAAAGCGAGCTGCTTAAGCTTCTTCCCAGCTTCTAGACAAGAGTTACTTGGGACAGTTCACTTTGATATTGCTTCAGCTCGCAATTGACAAGCAAGCTATTTTGGAGCTCAAACTGGAGCCCACATCCTAATATGCGCCGCGAGGTAACCTGGGTGGCGAGCGCAGGGGACGGTGAGCAATTGTGAAGGTCTGTTTCTTTCGCCAATTTCCTGAGCAGAATCGCCACACACACACACACACACACACACACACACACACAAACAAAGGTGTGGGAAACCTGGTTAGAAGCAGCTGAAACCCGCCTTTAGTTTCCTACTGAGGGCTCGCCCAAAACTTCTTTACTGTCTTTGACAATTTTGACGCGCCCAGTCTTTAGACGCAACCTCACAACCTCAATTCACCTCCTTCACTCTCCTATGTGCCCACGGTCGGGCCAGTACCCACCTTTGGGCCAGCACCCTCCCTCCAGTTCAAGACTGCACTCGTCTCCAGGGCCGGTATCAAGTTTGAAACTTTCACTTTTGATTCTTTCGTTTGAGATCATTCCTCCCCTAGAAAGAGGTTGACCCTGCCCTCACTGCTTTCACCTTGGGGGTGGGGTAAGGGGTCCAGAATTAGGTAGTAAGAAAGCAAAGTGAGGGGTCGGACAGCTGGAAGCGAGGAAGGGCGCGGGTGTGTGTGTGGGGGGGGGGGGGCAACGTCAGTTGCTGTCTGCTGTCTGCCTTGAGTGTCGGCAAACCCTCCGCAATCCGTGTGCGACCCATTTTGGGGGGTGGGGATTAACCGGCTGCCGGTGATGCCAAGATCAACCCTGGGAGCGAATGTATCAATAGACCAATTTTCTGCTCTTACCGCGAGGTTTTTTGTTTCAATCCAAAGTAGAGGTGTCTGCGCTGCGCAAGACGCAGCAGTACGGTAGCTTCTGGAAAAAGGGGGGCGCTAGATGCCGGATACGCAAGTATGGAAATTAACTCATTAGGAAGGGGTGTGGTTACTGCGAAGCCCCCTCCTCCATCTCTTCCTTTCTCCCTAGCTGCCACGGTCCTGGCTTGCTAAATATGAGATTACAAACAAACAAATAAAGCAGAAGCTGACTACGCAGCCCCCAGATCAAACACGCTCCAGATAATTCGCTTCACTCAGCGCTGTGGCCAGATCTGCTCAGCGCCGGCTCCTATCGCCCGCCGGTGGTTTCAGCGCCCCCTCCACGCCAGCCCTGGCTGCCGCAGCTCTGAAAGCCAGGGCCCGCGGCGGCTTTTCGAAGGCACAGCACGTGGCCCCAACACCCGGTTTGGTATACGTTTTTAAACCTCAGACAAATGCTTCCACCACTGTGGTAACTATCTGAGGGGTTCCGCTGACCTCAGAGTGCTCTCCTAGACGGTGAGGGTGCTGATGCTCTCTTGGGGAGAAAAACACTCCCAACAAGAAAGTGACGTCCTAGGGGTGTAGGGCTGGAGGTGTAGCTCTGTGGAAAGGGCTTGTCTAGCAAGCGTAAGGACTTAGGTTCGATCCCCACCACTGTAAGGAAAAGAAAAGTGATGCTTTAAGAGCAGTTTTCTCCCCCTGTGGGGCCACACCCGGAGCGGGAGTGGGAAAAGGCGGGGGTCGGTTTGAGCATTATTTTATTAACCAAAGACCAGGTCCTCAAGAGTGAGGGCAGGGGTTTGGAAAACCTAGGGTGTATAATTCTGTGCCGAAAAAAAAAAAATGGGGGGGGGGGGTGATGGTGTGTGAAAAGGAACAAAACGCACACCCTCTCACCGCCCCCTTGTCCCCTTACCCCCTCCCCAGCAGCCGTGCCCTTAGGTCCTCAAAGCCTGCCTCTGTGCAGGACTTGGGGGAAAATGGTACTTTTATGGCTTTCCTTCCTGCGTGGCCCGCCTCCCCGCCCCTGCTCCCTGCCTGGCGCTTCCCCAGCTGCGGGCCCCTAGGAGGAAGGCTGCCCAGTCCCCTCGTCTCCCGCTGCCTGCAGGCCACCGAGCCTCAAAGCCTGCATTGTCCAGCGGGGGCGGGGAGGCCACCAGACCCATGCAGAAGAATAACACTGCGCCCAACTCTTGTTAGGGAAAGTTTTCCAAATGCACTCCTTGTGGTAAAATACTTTCAAAAGGGGTGCGGTGTATGGGGGGTACATTTTGAAAACCCACTGCCTTCTCCCAATTCCTCAACCTTTCACTTTTGAGGCTCTCAGTAAGGCGGGGGGAGCAGACCGGGAACAAATTGGCTAGTGGCAAAGAGGGCTGAAAATGTGAACATGGCTGTAGAATAGTCAATGTGGTGGTTTTGAAATGCGGGTGGGAAGAGAGAAGGGGTATGTTCCACCAGGTCTGGTTCGGGGACAGCTGCACGGTTGGGGGGGGGGGCAGTGTGTGAAGGGAGAGGAGGCCCCTAGGGCGCGTGTGCAGGCAAAGCATTTCTCACCTCCTGTTTATCTTAGAAGCGGGGCGGAGGGGGGTGGGTGGGGAGCGAATTGTTCTGCTTCCCGACAGGCAAGAGAAGTTGAATAAAATGGAGAGGCGGGCACACGCAAAAACAAAAACTGCTGTAGGTTCTGAGTCTCTCTCCTTGACCCAAATTCTCAATGGTGGGGGCTTTCCATTTGCAAAAAAAGACTACAAAGTCTGAAGACCCCGAGACAGCGGTCCTCCGACCGCAAAAGCCCGGATGGATACCGTTAGAAATGGGGGCTTTGGGGACAAATCTGATTATTTTTTCTTTCAAACAGTGAGACCCTTCCTTCCAAGTATTGTCGTTTTCATTTGAGGGGTCTTTGGGTTTCTTCTGCTCTTCCATGCACTTGCAAAATTATGGCTTGTATCCCTTGCAAAACTCTCCCTGAAAAAAAAAAGTATATTCCAAGTGATTCTATCCAAAAAAGCCAAATCAAAACCAAGCAAGACTAAATAAATAAATAGATAGATAAAATAAAACAAAGCAAAATACAGGACCTTGTCCTTGGCGTCCAACAACAA